TATCACCAAAAAAGAGAAAGAGCTCTTGAGTGAAAATTTCCGGACACTGTAAAAGAAACACTTACGCATTTCAGTGAGGGCGTAGTTGATGTTATAAGTTAAAAGGGCTCATTCTGGCTCCTAGTTTTTGGAATACTGTCCAGCATGGTGAAGAAGTGGGAGTATGGGAACTTTCAACCTTGCATCTGCTGTCAGAAAGCAGAATTCCATTAGAAAGTCATAGACGCCGATGCCCATCTCACTTTGCTCCTTTTAATTCAGTCCTTAGCCACAGCTCATTGGATTGTGTTGGACAAGACAGGTCTTTTCCATTAGGTAAATTTCTCTGGAGACACTCTTCCTAGACATCCCCAGAGGTGTGTTTCTAGCTGATTCCAAAGCCAATCGTTATGAAAGAAGATTAGTCAGGACAGAATCCTTTTCGTAAGTTTTCTCATGACCGAATTTGTTCTTCCTTTTCCTATTAGAATGTTATCGACTTACAAACCACTTTCAAATGCTGGCTGAACCCTGTGGTCCTGTACATTTCTCCACCCTCAATGTGAAGTCATCCTTTGCTGTGCATGATTAGTGTTCCCGTACCACAACCTGAGCAGAACACTTTATGCCCCCACATTCTCCAGTCTAGTCTTTTAGTTTTCACAGGCATGCAAAGCATTTGTTTCATTAGCATGCCAGTTTCAATTAGTAAATGTACTGAAACTTAAATTTGCAATGCCTGAAGAACTTCACAGACCATTTCATGAGGATTTTGCCTGCGTATATTGCCTAGATTTCAAAGAAAATTAGAGACCCACTTCGAGCAGCATGGTGGCAGTGGACTCTCTCACCCTTTCCTGCAGTGAGAAGGATCTTGGCTCAATGAAATAGGTTGCCTACATGTATTTGGTGCATGGGGTTTGCAAGGGAAAAAGATAGCTCTTTGATGATCCATATGGTGTATTATGCAAGCATTATTAAAGAGGACACTGCATTTACTAAGACCACTGCAAATATGAACACAGTGAGTCATCGAGACAGGAATAATTCTACAAAACTGAGTGCAAAACTAGTCCTTGCTGATTCCTCAAGTCTCTCCTCTTAATTTGGATTACTTTCTGCAATACCTCCGGATGATGATGAGTCAAGAAACCAGAACTTTCCAACTGATGGAGTAGATTGAGAGCAGTGGGTGAATGCCTTTGAGTCTGTTCCTACGCAGCCTTAAGTTGTGACTGTACTATCCCTACCCCTAAATCTTGCACTGAAGTATCCCTTCAGGGTTCAGTGACCAAGGCCCAGAGAAGGAGCCAATATCTGTGGAGGCAAAGTAGTTTTGCCCCTGTGCTGCAGTGCGAGGGTGTTGCTATGAAGGCTGTTTATCTCCATGGAGACTACGGTGTCACGGGTGATATGCAGCCCCTATACCTGATGGATGCTGCCCACAGGCCATAGCACATAAAGTCTTGAAAGGGATGTGGCACTAGCTCTCTCTTGTTGTGCAGCACAGTAAGGATCTGGTGTGTGGGATCTGTAATGTAGGTGGTCTGTGAGAAAGCCAACCCTGGCCAGCACGGTTTCAGGATCCTCTCCAACCGCAGCCACACCTACAGTGGCAAGTGTATTGGCAAGCAGAAGAGTACTAAGCTATTTGAAAGTAATCTCAGAAAGCAAGACTTCTTCTTTTCCTCATTTGTGCTTTCTACTTTCAGGAAAAACTTAGTGTCTTGTGCCAATATCCAACCTAAAGGACTGCATTTAAATGCTCATATTTTATCATGAACCTGAGGTGTTTGAAGTTTGCTTTTTTTTTTATTTCAGTTAGTTCCAGGTGAGCTGGTCTACCTGTTTTATTTGAATGGAGAAACCCTGTTATTAGTTAGTAGAATCCTCAACCATTTTGAGATTATGTTCAATAGATTAGATGATTTAGGCTCTGTGAAGAAACTTTCTAACTCTGAAGGTATGTTTCCTGGAGTTTTAACATATTCTCACTTCCTGCTCGATCCTTCAAATTAACCAGCAGTCTACCATCTTTTAAAAACTGTCCTGATAACTGAACAAGAGTTACATAATCTAAACAGAAAAAAGTACAAGAAACAAATTTATTTAAGTGAAAAAAGAGAAAAAAGAAAGTTATAAAAATTGTAATTGTTGTTAAAGTCATATAATTAGAAAGCTGTAAAATGGAGTCAACACAGATATGTTACTGGGATTGCACATATATTTTACTGCCAAATTCTAAATTCAAGGAATCTATAAATTTGTGAAACTATTTGTATTATAACATAATGTACAACATTTCACACGAGTTGTCTCATATCCATAAAATATTCAGTACTGAACTTGGACTATGGACTTTGGATGACAATGAGCTATCAACATAGTTTTACCAACTAAAAATGGTACTATTTTCTCAGTAATATTTGTATGAAACACAAGAAACATAAAATATTAGTCTTTCCTACCAAATACTATAAAATTTATTACTCCAAGAAATTCATTTTTTTTATCTCCCCACCTTGTCAGACTTTTTATACAAATGTTTTAATTCTCTGCACTTTGTCAGACCTTTGTTTCTACAAAGACCCTGCTGGATTCTCAGAACTTAAGTGACTTGGTGGCTGACCTCTTCCCATTGTCCCTTATTTCCTCTGTTCTAGATTCTTTTAAAAATAGCCAATTATGAAAGATTATAAAGTTGGACCCCACCCACTGAGGGAAAGACACAGTCACTACCAGTCCTAGAATAAAAACCAAATGGACCCACAGCTCCTTTATAGTGCTTCCTCCACTTTATAAGTGAGCAACCTTTTGACCAAGAGTAAAATTTTGCCTTGTTGAGACACTTCAGTTAGAGTGGTGGTCTCTTATTTGTGACCCCAAACTTATCTATAACTCTTGACCATGAGGGAGGCTATGTATGTTTGAGTGAAGCAGGTATCTAGACAATCTCTATTCAACATTCTTTGAACCAGAAAATTTTCTAAAGTATATTCTATTAGCACTTGATTTTTTGAGACATTCTATCATAGAGATGAGAAAGTAAATAATACAGAAAACTGGTGGAAAAAGGTAAAGTCCTTGCTGAAGGAAACATGACCATAAGCCTTCTGCTCTCTGACTGAAAAAGGAATGAGGCAGAGTGCTATGGATGGAGCTTTGCAGACCATTTTGTTCAGAAGGTGAAGACCAACACACTGATAGAAATGCATACTAAAAAGTCTTGATCCTGGCTCATGAGATTCGAGTGGGGAATTGGCATGGCTACTGGGCTAGAAGTCACTCATATTACATTCAGGCAAAGAATATGGTTGCATCATGCCCATGTCGTATCTTTTTAATGAGGTTGAAATCACAACAGGCTAAACAGTTTGTCAGAGAAAATTTCAAGACAGCATAACAAACACTCTGTCGCATGGTGGCTGGTTTCTGTGTTTATTGATATTGATATCAATAATCCGAAACAGAGTGGTATGAAAGATGTGCAGTTTTGTGGAGAAAACAACACAAGGAAATTTAAAATTGCACACACAGTGGCTGGGAAGAAAAGAGCTAAAATTATTTTTAAAAAAGATTAATGTTATTAAATAGAAACATTGGTCTAGGCACTGAGAACGTAGGAAAGTTGCCTCAAGACCAGGACACCATCCTGGGAAAGTTCCATCTTTGGGAAATGCAGGTTCATTTGAAAGGAGAAAACATAAACCGTAAATGCAGGCAAATAGATTCCCTAATAGAAGACAGCAGCATAGGAGCTGTTTTCCTGCACCCAGCCAGTAAGGTGTGCAGAGGTCACTTCTGCTGTGGTAGAACTGAACCACAGTGCATCTCAAATTTACAAAAGAACCTTGCAGTATCAGCCACATGAAAACTGGACATTTAAGCATATAAAATATGAGAATTATAGCTTCATAGAGCCTTGTGCCAAGATTCTGGAAAAAAATTCAAGTAAGACAATGTGTCCTAGAGTTGCTAAGCTATGTGCAAAGCGGTGAAATGAAATGTAAGTCACAATGGGGATCTTGAGTATCAGAGACGATAGGACCGTGTGATACCTCCTGAGGAAAGTTGCAGTCTTGCAATGGAGCTGGACTAGGGGTTATACGTGCTTCAGGCTACATAATGGAAGCCGCAGGACTACCAAAGGTGGTTGGAGGCCAAATGGTGCCATCAAATGATCCAGATGTTGGATACAGAGCTTTGGAAAATGGCGTTTTTCTTGCTGTTCTTGGGTTTTGCTTTGGTTTGATGTTTCCTTGATATACTATTCTTCTCCTTTGGAATAAGAATATTTATTCTGTGCCATTGAACATGGAAAATATGTACCTCGTGTTTTGATTTTATCCAGGATCACAATTAAAAGTTTGTCTTGATTGGCGGCTTCGAAAGCGCCGCGGCGGGAAGGGCTGCAGACGCGCCGGGCGATGTGGACAGGCCAGGATCAGAAAGATGGATGAGAATGTTGCCGAGTTTCTCCGGAGGAGCATCTTGAAAATCCCCTTGCATGCGATAAAGACCATCCTAAAAACCTGGGACTTTCTGTCCGAAAACCAGCTGGAGACCATAAACTTGAGGCAGAGGAAGGAATCTCTGGCCCAGGAAATAATTCTGCTGTGTGAGCTCTGACTGTCCTGGAACTCTGTCTGGAAACCAGGCTGGCCTCAAACTAACAGAAGTCCACCTGCCTCTGCCTCTGCCTCTGCCTCCTGAGTGCTGGAATTAAAGGCATGTGCCTGACTGGAACAATCTTTCCAACAGCCTGGCTAAAACAATTGGATGCTCATATGCAAAAACACCTCTGCTGGTCAAGGTGCTGCATCTGTTCAGTCCCAGAACTATGAAAGCCAAGGGGAAGAATGCAACTCTTGATGACATGGCCCTCTTAGACATCGTGTATACTCAAGTTCATCGGCACAAGAAGCTCTGGGATGTCTTTGAGATGAGTAAAGAACCAGGTGAAGATGTCGACCTTTTTGACATGAAACAGTTCCAAGGTTCCTTTAAGAAAATTCTTCAGAGAGCATTAAAAAATGTTTCAGTCAACTTCAGAGTCGACCAGAAGAATGCTGTGTGGATTCAGGTTGCCTGGGGAACACAACATTCACAACCAAACCAGTACAAACCCACTTTTGTGGTGTACTATCCCCAGACTCCATATGCCTTCATTTCTACCTGCCCTCTGAAGACCACTGTACCCCTTCTCCATCAGGCCCTGAAGGTTGCGAGCAAACACCATCAGATAGTGCACCTGAATCTGAAAAGCCGGCACCTGGACTAGCTCAAGGCTATCATTTTTAGAGAGTATAACCAGAACTTTGACAGCCACAACACCACAGTGCCTCTGCAGGAAGGAAGCTTTGGACTAGACGTGAATTTGGATTCAAACATCATTCTTGAAAACACAGAAGAAAAAGAAAGAATCCAAAGAGTCACTCAGGAGACCTTTGGAACCTATTCCCAGCCACAGCTGGAATTTGCACAGTATAAGCTGGAGACCAGATTCAAGAGTGACATAAGTGGCGGCATCTTGGCTGACAGGAAAGAACCCCTCCGGTGCCTCATAAAGTTCTCAAGCTCACACCTTTTGGAAGCATTGAAATCCTTAGCACCCGCCGGCATAGCAGATGCACCGCTTTCTCCACTGCTCACCTGTATACCAAGCAAGAAAATGAATTATTTTAAAATTAGAGATAAATGAGATACATGTGGCTTTGCTCGTATTGCACATAGAATCCCGGTTGTAGCCGGCTGGCTTCTGTATAGACTCTTGTGTTTTAGAAATCAATCCTTGGCATTGGAAAGTCGGTGCTTTTAATGTAACTGTTGGGACTATATATGTCCTCCCTATGTGCTCTTGTACCCCTGCTCCTATGGCCTGCTAATTAAATTACAGCAGCAGTGGGCATTTGAGAAGCGATACCTCTGGCTGCTCAGCAGGTCTTAGGCCAGCTGCATAAAGGTATAAAAGGCTTTAGCTCACGGAAAAATAAAGGTTGCTGTGCTTCCACCTGAAAAAAAAAAGTTTGTCTTGAGTCTGAGAAGAATTTTTGGATTCCTTACCAGTATTAAGGCTGTTAAAGATTATGAGAACTTTTGCAGTTTAACTAAATGTATTTTACTTTATGAAAATGACCATTAGTTTTTCTTTTTTTTTTAGGTCCAGGGATATAAAGTTGTACCTAAAAGTGGTATGTTTGTGGAATGGTCATCATTTAGGTGTGCTTATTGCTTTTTCAGAGGACCCAAATTCAGCTCCCCAATCCCATTTTAGGTAGCTCATAACTTCTAGCTTCTGTAGACATATAATCATGTGAACAGTCACACAAAGCATATAACCATACATACAATTAATGAAGTCAAAATAAAATGCAAAGCAAAATGATATTAGAGTGTCAAGTGAGAAGAGATAAACTTGTGATGATTAATGATCATTACCAAAATTAATATTCAGAAATCTTTAAAACGTACATCTCGGTCTGTCTTTAAAGGCAGGAAGTTTCAATGAGTCGGGAAGACCCACCCTGAGTATGCTCTGTTCTGAATAAAAGCTAAAAGAGATGAAGTGATGTGAAGGCCAGCATTTGCAGCATCCTTTTCTGCTTCCTCACTGTGGAAACAAACTGTCATATAGCATTACCTGCCCTGATGAACTGTACCTCTTCAAACTGTGAGCCAAAACAAACCTTTGCTTCATTAAATTGTTTCTCATCTGGTATTTGGTCACAGAAACAATGAAAGTAGTTCATATAGCTTCTATCATGAAAATAGATAAGCAGTTTGATCTAACGCAGCGTTTCACAACCTTCTAAATGCTATCGCCTTTTAATACAGTTCCTCATGTTGTATACCTCCAACCATAAAATTACCTTTATTACTGCTTTACAACTGTAATTTTCTTACTGTTATGACTGTTAATGTTAATATCTGATATGCAAGGTATCTAATATGCTACCCCTGTGAAAGGACGATTTTCCTCCCTGTCTGTTGGTCACTAGTCCACTAGGACAAAGGAGCAGAAGACAGCGAGCTTCGTATGGCCTGTGAACACGATGGAAATATCCTTCCAGGATGCTGGTTCAGTGAGACAGCTCAGCTTTATTCCAGAGTATAGAGGATATATAGGATTGGGGACAGTAGCTGTGGAAATACCTAATTTGCATTAAATGGCACACTCCTATTATAAGGCTCCTAGAACAAGTGTTAGTTATCACCCATGGAAGCACAGTCCTATGGTAAAGCTCCTGGCACAATGTCTAATTACCATGTGGACAATAGGGGAAAAACTCCTGCAGGGAACTGTGTCCAGGGTCATACTAGAGATAAGTCAGGCATCTGGGCCTAAAGACAGTCTCCAAATAAGGTCAGGTAGAGAACAGGGTGCCTTGTCCCATGGGGAAGGAGTCCTCCACATTGCCGAGCTCAGAATGAGCTGTCAGGCCATGGTAGACTACAACCTCCAATCAGCTGGGCCTCGCAGCAAACTCCCAAAGGGGTGATGACTCACAGGTTGAGAACCAGTGATTTAAAGTTAGCCTAGGGTAGTTAGGAACATTGTGCTAAGCTTCCTTCTTGTAGGCAACCTCAATTCTGAAGCTCCTACCACACAATAGATGCAGAGAGGAACATGATCTCCCTTTACCCTGCTTGTGGCTGTCTTAAGTGAGTTCACCTAGTACAGCTGCATTTCCCTGCTTTTGGTCCTATGTTGGACAGGAATAAAAGAAAAGAATTTTCTCAACTGAGGATTAAGAAGCACAGATCAGGAAATGGAACAGAAGGATGGTTCAATAAGGAAGGGCTTCTACTTCCAAGGAAGAAATTGTATCCACTGGACTTGTAAGACATTGTGGGGGATAAAGAACAGAATTCTATTTGGCCTTCTAGTTCACATTTCCCTCACTGCAGTATGCCAGCTTGCCAAGAAGTAGACTTGGAATGTGCGCTGGAGTGTAGAATGCTCCCTGGCAGCAAGGATAGCATACGTGGTGAGTTCCAGGCCAATGAGAGCCCCTGTCTTAAGGGGGACAGTGTTCCAGATAACAACACACGATGTTATTCTCCTAAGTCTCACAGTTATATGAATTAACACCAACATATACACATACATTAGCCTGAACATACATGAACACACACACATGAACACACATACACACATGAACACACACACACAGGGGAACAAACATCCACAGTTCCTTAGTGACTTAATACCATCGATGAATGGAAAGGAAATAGAACCAGACAGAGAGGTTGGAAAGATACAGAGTGCCATCAATTCCCAGGAAGTTCTAGAGTTACAGTGACCCTTCAAAGTTGCACCAAAATGGGCCAAGCTTTGATATGGCCACAGCCATCAGTTATTCGATCCAATCTTCCCTGGGAAAGACCAGAACCTGTAACAATTTCCTGGGGATGAGGCAATCCTTAGAGATGCCGAGTACATACCCCTCTCCTAGGGGCTAAGAAACAAGTCTTTCCTGGAACGGGCATTCTGCATAACCCATTAAGCATCTGCCACATCAAATTTACTTATTTTAAAATCCCCTGGGGGGGCCTTGAGAGGCTCCAGTTTCTCTGTGAATTGGGAGACACGAAACACAGGCAGACATTTCAATTTTCAATAAACTTCTCAAATAAAAGTTGGATGCTCAGAAATTTTGTAACTATTCCTTTATTCTTCCATGCATTTATTCAAATCCACTAAGAAAAGACAATAGTCCGGTACTTTGATATTGGCTTATAGCACATGTCTCCCCATCTCAAAGTACCTTCCTTCGATTCTCATAAAAATTCCCTGAAATAAGCTGAGCTCTCATCTGTGTTTGGCAGATAAGCAAAGGAGTTTAGGAGGCATGGATGGCGTGCCCAAGGTCACAAAGCTGCTCAATGTTACTCAGCTTAATCTTGCATATCCCATTCTAAGACCCGCAACCTCTCCTCTCACACACTTGAAATTTATTATGAAATCAGCCATGGTGTTCTTTAAAAAAGATAAATATCCTCACTATCCATAGAAACGTTCCCAATGTTATGTTAGTGACCTTTCTTATAGAAACAAAAACGAGTGCCTGTCATGGTAATAATGGAGTTTCCACTGTATTCTGATAAGCTTAGATGGCCATGCCGGGCTGACTTTTGATGCAGGCAATAGCTTTTGCTTTAACTCTCAATATCGTACAAGAAACTACTGCAGTCTCATCTGTTTTCTCTGGATAAGCTCTTCCTGAATCTTTATAGGATTGAGTGGTGTTTTCTAGGAAAAGGGGAAAGTATATTAAATTCCCTTTAAAAGGCACTTGGGGCTTTAGGTGGCAGCTGCATGAATAGGCCTTAACCCAACAGTTCCCACCCTTCCTAATGCTGAGACCCTTTATACAGTTCCACCTGCTGTGGTGACTCTCGACCATAAAATTATTTTCATTGCTACCTCTTAACTGTAATTTTGCTACTGTTATGAATCATAATGTATATATCTGTGTGTTCTGGCCCCTGTGAAAAGATTGCTCTACCCTCAAAGGTGTTGTGACCCACAGGCCTTAACCAAAAAACAAGGTAAAGTGAGTACCGGTTGGGCTTAATGGACAAAGAACCTGGTATTTGGTGTGAGCATGTGGCACCTGCTTCAAAGCTCTGATTATTTCTCTAACTCCCTCTAAATCACTAGATCTATGCAAAGCAGTAGATGCGCTATGGCAGTTCTCCAAAAGAATCTGTGCTGTACTCCACAACGACAGCTTTACTCCACGACAAGCCACAATCTTTCATCACCTACAAATGACCCAGGGACAATGAGAAAGACACTGCAGAAATACAGGGGAAGTTGTACTTTGTCTTCAAACTATCAACAAAGAATTAAGCAACAGTTTGGGAAGGCTTTGGGGGACAGTCTCACACGGTAATGCTGACAATGTTTTTCTTCTGACAGCAAAGTCTGTTATTCATTAGTGTGCTGGGATCGCAGTTGGGACTGAAGCACATATACTTGTGTATTAGCAACTCTTATGCAAGTCAAAGGTCCTATTGTCTTCAGTGCCTGAGCCCATGCATTCTAAGCTATAATACATAAGCAGCGAATGTTCCGACTTTCTCAAATGCTTTGGGGAGAAGTTTGACCTAAAGCATTCAAGGGGATTTCACACAGATTTTAGAGGCTCCCAGTGAAGTTCACGGTATTGAAGGTACATGGATTTCGTTTTGAGCAAGAGCGTAGAGCTCACTGAATTAAATGAAGTAATTTCTTGTTGCTTCAGGTCACCAGCACTTATAACTCTGTTCCTCAGAACTTTAGCTCTCTTTGACCCATAACGATTTATCATCTCTTCAGTGATTTATAAAATTTATAAAATGACTATTTTTACAGATGAAATTATCTTAGGAATTTAGGTTAATTCCTGAGCCCTTATTTCTGATTTATCAATGTCTATCTTATATTCTGGAACCAAAATGTTTTCATGTTGGCTCTCTTAATTTAAAAGAAAGTCTGAGTATTTGAATGTGGAGTTGTCCTTGTATAAGACATCATCCCTCCTCGTTTCCCCAGAACTGCCCCTGGATTTCTTCTCTGAACAATTTTATGTATTTGTAATTGCTCCTTCTTATGCTAGTTACTCCTCACGTTGCTATTTGATTAATTTATGTTCTTTCGTTATTATATAGAGTTTTCCTAAGCACTTTATGTTCTAGACTTTGTCATGTCTTTCACATTTCACTATTTAGCCACAGACTTATTCTTTTTTATCACTTAGACCATAAATCCTCGCTGTGTCTGAGAACTAGGGCTTCTTTTCATTTTATCGAAATTTATTTATTTAGTTGGGTCATTAGTGTTACACTACTGGGGATTGGTTCTTGGGACTCATTCATGGTGAGCAAGCACTGTGCCACACAGCTGTGACCCAGGCTCATGCATATATTTTTATAACCATCACTATCATCCACCTTCAGGATTTTATAGCACAAACTGAAGTTATATACTATTA